TGATGTTTGTATTTTCCACATTCAAATGCTGTGGGATGCAAAATCTGTATTATAATTTACATTATATTATTCTGACATCATCAGTATCATATACTGGGGTCTCCAAGTTAATATTTTTGTTGTAAATCCAATGTCATGAAAATGAATTATGATTTCTGAGACATACTGAAAATAATGTACACAGTATCCTGAAAACAGATTCCCAGTTTAAAATATAATATTTACTGTATTTGGCTCATATCATTGAATAACTTACAAGTGTTTTACTTAATAACTGATTCCAGTCAGATTGGTTCTGAGACACTCTCGGGTATACAAAACGCGGAAGTGCCAGATCTCAGTTCTGATATATGCATTGATTTTTGTATTTAAAACTTAAAGAATCATTTCACCATGATTTATACCAAACTTGCTATGGGCTAAATACAAGGTCAATACTCGTGTACAGGTATTTAATGATTGTGATGTCATTACTAGACTCAACATGGTACATAATGAGACATAGCTCTCAATTGATCTGCCAGCCAACTAATTAGAGCAAACTATTGTCTCCATTTCAGGTAGAGTGTTCAATATATTGAGTGAAAATATATGTAAACAAAAGCGCGTAATTGCTAGGGCATTTTCAGTTATTACAATCTCACATAAGCTCATTTCTCTTACCCTACCTTGTTTTTCTAAAAGTAATTAGTTTTGTATATTTGTAATAGAAAGTATTTTATTGAAGTAGTTATTTAGACCACCACTGAGTTTTACTGCAGGGGAAAATTTTAAAATAAAAGTCAATCCAAGGTAAATGTTTATATTCTATTAATATACAGGTTAAGGTTCTAATTTTAAATTTTTTTAGAATTATGCTCGTTGAGGGATAAGTTTTGCGCTTCATTGTATTGAGTTGTCTGACTAAGAATAAAGGTTGGAAAAATGAAAAAAGTTGTCAGCTAGGAAAACAATTGAGTGAGACAGTGATCCTCTTGGGTCTTAAAGTTCTCTTAAAAATGTACAGCTAACCTCCTTAATGTTGTAAATTCACTCTTATTCTTACTATTTATGCACCCTCTTAGACTGAAATACGCTTCAGACACAAACAAAACTATTTCTACAAGATGTAAACAAAGATTAGTGTGATACTTTGGTAAGTTCAGCTTGAGTGTAAACTGGAAGTAAACATGATGTTTGCAAGATCTCTTGAAATATCTTTGCCTGGATATACCTTACACATAGGGCTAACAATCAAAAAATGAATTTACTTCATTTATAAGGGAAACATTACATTTATGATATAGGTACATATAGTCTACAGGGGTGTGCAATGGATACACCCCTGTTTAGCTCAAAATCACCACTTTTGGTGAATTTGGGGAATCAAAGACTTATTCATAAAAAATATTTGTTAAACCCCTCTTATTTTGAAGTATCAATCTTACAAAATCTCATTTGATGCTGAGATGGTTTTTTGTTCAGTTCTTTTGTTGAAAATACAGTATTGAAATATGAGTGTATTTTATGGTACCTGAGTTAAGTATGTTTGAAGCCTTGAGGTCTGAATGATCTCATATTTCAGGTAATGACCTGTCATTTTGCAAAGAAAACCTAAAATAGAAAGTTTGTGGTCAAAATAAGTTTTGTGTAGCATTTAAATGGTCCAGAAAAATGATTGATTTTTTGATGTATTTAAAGTTATATGAAGTGTCATTATTAGTTTTCGTTAAGTATGGGTGATTTTGGTTGTTTGTAATGTTTTTAATGTTGCCCTTTGTTGTTTCTCATTGTAATTCTTAAAGATAGAAAGAATGGTAAGAATTTGCTTATTTACCTACAAATATACGCCTTCTGTACAGGGCATATACATAGACAAGGTAAGATTCTACAGAAATGTTATTTCTGAGATGCATTTAGGTACTTGTAAGTATGTAACACACCCAAGCTTCTGGTTGTGCTCAAAATACATTATAACGTCTGCTTGGCCTTCATCTCAAGCCTTGCTTATTTCATGCAATTTCTCTGTAAAATTTGACTGAAGTATCTGAATTTCTTACATTTTTATACAATTCCGAATGTGAACTTCATTCCTGTTTGCTTTATTCCTTGTTATTTCTGTTTATTTCACTCTAATTTTGGAAATCAAAACAACAACTTGATATTTTATCGATAGACAGCTAACCGGACCTGAAAGAGATTCTGTTCATGGTGATTTCGCCATATGTCATGAAAAATGGTCTGTTTTCATTCATTCTGCTTTTGTAACAGTTTGTCTGATATTATGTTATTTATTTTAAATCTGGTAGAATTGGTTTTTAAGCATATTCTTCGCTGGTTGCACACTCTTTCACTCTGTTTTGTATTTCAAAATTGGACCATGTATTTTTCTGTTTGGTAGATGTCTTGTAATTGTGATGTAATGTAATTAACACCATAGCAACAGGTGTAAGGACCATACATGCTGTGGAGGTTTATAGGGAGGGAAACATTTTATCACGTAGCATGAAGACTCAATGCTTCTGTAGCAGATAAGGAAGTGATTAGGTGCAATCTTGTAATAATTATTCTTGCATTTTTGGGATCAGTATCACAATTATCACAACCTCTTCTTGAATTATATTTTACAGTTTCTTGATTTGAGGAGGAATTTGAAATAATTGACATTTGCAATTTTGAATTAAGGTGTTGCTTAATAATTGTACCACTTATGATCATTATTGTTCCTGTTTGCCAATTCAGTTTATAAAGTTATCATAGTTTTAATGCCTTTTTATAAGTGCACTACTATATTTGGCACAATCCAGGACCGCACATGGCTAATATATATTTTCAGCTATATGATCTAATGGACACTTTTACTTCACACCCAGCCAACCACTTTGTCCCTAATGAGAATTTGTTGCTCAAAATGGTACAAAAATGAAATAGGATTTTATCTTTTACGTTTGTTTATTGTGATTCTTGCAGTATTAAAGGCTCCACATTTTATCTATTTTATTATCCTTAAAGGCTCTAATTTAACATCTGATCCTCCGTTATGATCTTGAAACAGATTAATAAGTCAAGCTATGTATTTTTCAGGTTTAGATTCATTTTTAGGCTTATTTGACTTATTCAACTACCTTGCATAGATGCTGTAGTGTAACAAAGTCAATCAGGTATTGACTTAGAGATAACATTTTGGTTAAACACTTTCTTTCTGAACCCTCATTATGATAGACCACAATAGAGTCAATATTTTATATTATATTGTTGTGTATCTGGTGTTAAGCCAATTTAGTAGCTTTATCAACAATAGTGATCAGTCTGTTAACATCATTATTGAATGGATTCTATCTGCAGCATATTTTTTTGAAATATGTATGTGCAATAACACGGAGAATTTGAAAAAAGATAGTTGAACAATTCTTACACGACTCTACACTACACCATACTACATACACACAGTTTTATATATCTGTCTAATTGTAAAATGATACAGACTAATATTTGTCAATTTGTATTATCAATAAAACACAATAATTATATATTAACAAAATTACCTCTTTTGATATATAAAAGACCACCTTGATTTGTTCAAACTTTGCAAATGAGATGGTGGTAGCACTTAACAATTTCATGGCAATAGTTATTTTAGTCCAAGCTACTAATCAATGTTTATTCACCTTTAAATTATATTATTTAATTACATCACACCAAATGGGCATGTTATAATATTTGAGCCCTTGCCCAACTTTCCTTCTATTAATCTCTAGCAAAGTTTATTTTAAACCTGTCTTGAAAAAGTTAACTGGAGGAGCATGAGATGGAAAAATAAATGTTGAGACTTGGATTCAAGGTAAAGAATATTTACTATTTTTTAAGATTTGATGAGAAATGTCAAAAATCTGACCAAATGGTTCATAACCTTTGAATAAATTGAAATTGATATTGAATTGATAAGTGTACAAACTTATCACTTAATATGATGGTAGCTGGAAGCAAGAATACAAATGCAGACATTGAAATGATCATGATATAATAAGAGCCATTGACCGAATGTGAATGTACCATTGATCTGAATGTTATTTGTACAATGTCGAGTTTGTTTGAAATCAATTTGTGAGCAGTGAAACAGTAATAGTTTGATAAATGGATCAATAGATGGTTAAGTAAGATTCATGGTGAGCATCTGCGGCATTTTATTAGAGTTACATTTTCCAGGAGTCCAAGTATAATTGTCTTCCAATCAAGTTTTTGGTCTTTCCTAATTCTCTAACCTTGTTTCCCAAAGAGAAGATAGAATGAGATAATGCAAAGTCTTGTTGCGAGATTAACAAAATACTTTAAAGTAATGAAGTCGTCTTAAAGGCTATCTTTTCCAAAATAGAGTGAATTGCAATTCTACAATTCTTGAAATTCAATTGTGTTTGAACGTTATTTTGGCAAAATCATGAACGACTATTGAATTTCAGGAATATTGATTGGAAATATTATCAAAAAGCACAAGTGGTTTAGATTCTCGGCTATACTAAGATGAAGAGCCTGCAAGTAGCATCCCGACCACTCTTTGTTAAAATTTTGATTGTGAATATATCTACATTTATCTGTTTTGTCTAATTTGTTTTTATTAGTAGTATATGTAGCGGTGGTACCTGCGAGAAAAGAGGCGTTTTGTTGACGCCACAGTTGCCACAGTATGTCAACAGTTGCCACAGTTACCTAAGACAACTGTGGTGGCGAAACGAAATGTGAATATTTGGAAATGAGGCGTTTTTGTTAACATGAGAATAATCATAAGAGTTGCCACAGTTGCCACAGTTGCCATAGTATATCAACAGTTGCCACAGTTACCTAACATCTTAATAACAACTGTGATAGCGAAACGGAATATCAATAATTTTGCAAACTGCGATCACATTCCATGAGATAATAAAAGATAACTGTTAAAAATATCTAACAAGTTTTGATTCACAAATGGTTAGCTGAGACCATCATAAAATTCAGTGACTACTTAACAAACATAAATTCGATGTATTCTAGATGATGCAAATGTATTTATTTAATATTACAGTCTTTTGTAATAGTTAATTAAGCAAAGGAGGGCTTAAACTGTCAGTTACTGATAGTGTTCATGTCAAATATGTACACGCATATGACTGTGTAAACCTATTCGCGATCCACAATCTCGATCACAGTCCTTGCATATAAATGTAGCCAATCTAGGCGGATTTGCTGTCCAAATAATGACTGATTCTTCATCGCTACTGCTATTCTCAGCACCGTGCGTACTAGGTTGACTTGATGTTGAAGTATCCATCGAAACCAGATCCATATGTCTCCATTCGTAAGCGCACATCTTCTTCTTGAGCAACGTAACCCCTGTAACACATAATGAGAACAAAAATAAAATAAAATTTGTATTAGCGTATTATTTGATTTATTTTGCTAGAACTTGTTGTTACAGTAGCTGACTCAAAAAAACAAACTTTTGATGCAACGAATTTCAAAACATAATTACCTATGGCAATACACATAATCACCACCAAGCATAGTACTCCAATGATACTCCCATACACAACAATTGAGTTGTATCCAACATTTTGCGTGGTTTCTGTATTATTCAAATCAGCGCTTGTTGTAGTTATTGATGTTATAGTATCATCATTTAATGTAAAGCAATTCCCGCCTGAGATATTCATTCCTTGAACACTGTTACATTGCCATACCTCCTGGCAGTTTACAATATATCCATTGTCTTCTTTAAAGCAAGAACAAAATACTGAACAAATACTAGACATTTTTCGATGTTCTCTTCTGCGACCTACCAACTAATATTACTTGGTAACAATGTACACTAACCAGAACTCGTTCACGCTCAATTAATTAACCTGCCTAATCGTCTTTAAGGTAATGCATTTGTAATGATTGTTTATATTTACACAATCAGTAACTTTATTCAAAGTTATGGTATATGAGAAATACTGTGATTAAGTGATATAATCACATTTAAGGTAAACGAAATGGATATCTCCGCAATTGAGATTTTTTGTTGAGATTTCACAGCACAAGTTTTTTTTCTATAAATCTTTTAAATTTTCATTTCAAAATTGTAGTATTGATAAGTATGCAAACTGAGAAGATAAAATCGCGTTCCATGAGAATAGATAATCGTCATTACAAATTCTGCATACTGTTAATTCATATCTCAATTAGATAATTCTTGTCATCTATTTGAATAAAAGATTAAAAAAGCGATATAAGCATCCTTACAAAGTGTGGCATGATAATTATACATAATTTGTTGAGATATTTCATATCATTATTTGTTTAGATTCTTAAAATCTGAAAGTAATCAGCATTTTAAATTGTGGTACAATGGAATTACATAATGTATAAACTAACAATTGATATGAAACCACTATAAAAGATATTAAGGTGATCACATTTAATACACAATCTCTAGTGGAAGCGTACACAGGGTAGAAAGAAACAATGGCTAGCAACATACAATACGATTGCGCAAATTGTGCTAAATCCTTTGACTCTAGCAAAAAGTTGCTTCAACACGATAGTCGGGTACACGGACCCACGAGTCACCAGTGCATTCTGTGCAAAAGAATATTCAAAAGGTTAGATGCTCTCAGGAGACACCAGGCTACATGCCCGGGAATCGGAAATGTAAGTATTACCTTTTATCATACATTTGTAATAATTATATAGTACTAAACACAAGAACATAGTGGTTCAAATATATATGGAGATAAATCTACATGGTCTATTACTTTTGAATTCAGAGTTTATTATTTTGTATAAATAATTTCAAAATGTATGTTTCCGTTTCTATGTGATGAATGTTTACTCATACAACTATACAATGTAAAAATGTGTATCTTAGAATACGTATTTAATGAGATTACTTTAATCATACAATAATATATCCCAATCTTGTATTTTCTCATACAATCACCATGCTCTTTATTATTTCTAATTTAAGGAAGAAGAGGATAACTTCCCCATTACACCAGTGGCATCAACCAGCAAAAACGAGAATGACATTGGGTTAAAACGAAAAAATCTGGATAGTGTTAACAAACAGTTTAAATTCAAAAAAAATAAACTAAGCTTAAAAAAGGGAACAATGAAAACAACATCTAGCCCATCAACAGATTTGAACTATGTCCGCAAATCCGTGATAGAACCCCCTACAATATCCAAAACACAAACTGTGGGACCGTCGGTGGCCGACACGTCGCAACAGCAACCCGTACTTTGGAATCAAACAAAAAACTTCCAGAGATCTGTACCGGGTCCCGCGGTAAATCAAGTATCCAAAGCACAAACTGTGGGACCGTCGGTGGCCGACACGTTCCAACAGCAACCCGTACTTTGGAATCAAACAAAAAACTTCCAGAGATCTGTACCGGGACCCGCGGTAAATCAAGTATCCAAAGCACAAACTGTGGGACCGTCGATGGCCGACACGTCGCAACAGCAATCCGTTCTCTGGAACCAATCAAAAAACTTCCAGAGATCTGTGCCGGGACCCGCGATAAATCAAGTATCCAAAGCACAAACTGTGGCACCGTCGATGGCCAATACGTCGCAGCAGCCACCCGCACTCTCGAACCAAACAATCAACTTCCGAAATTCTGTGTCGGGACATGGACATGTGGCCGATTCAATTAAGCGAGGGGTTGCTATTTCAGCTAATGCAGATACTAGTACTTCAACGGGCTCTGTTCGCAGTAACAATAAGCACCCTACTCCCTTCAATAATGGTGATGAGAATGAATTTTTGGATTTGTTCTCAGCATCAGATGTTGAGAGGAACTCGATTCTAAAGGATTTGAAATCCTCTATGGGAGTGCAAGTGGAATTGCTCAAACAAATGATTACAAATCAGGTTAGTCTCATTTTAAGTCAAAGGTTTTAATAAACTAAAGTATCTTAAATAATAGTGTATCAACGGTTAACAATAGTATTAATAGATGATGCATTGTTACTATATACTATTCTTAGTATAATAATATGATTTGATATATTTACATCATCAAATAACGGAATATTTAGTAAGCTGTTACAATAATAATATTAATAGATGATGCATTGTTGTATATTATATTTTTACAATTTTGTTGTGTTTTAATACAATTACAGAATCAACTAACAGAACAATTGGTGAACAACACACACACAAATAGGAAGAGAAAAGAATCAAAGCTAAACCCCAATCACCCACCACCTCCAGAAAAGCGAGCGCGATCAATATCATTCACGGTATGCACACTTTTTTACTTGCGTCTATCATAAGCCTTTGGAGGCTGACCGTATAATTACGGGTGACACTGTAATAAATAAATAAATAAATAAATATAAGAAAATAATTAATTAAAAATATATCACTTTGAACTCACATGATGGACTTTCAATATCTCTTGAAATCCCATGCTTACATGCATACATGTATTCAAGTTAATTGTAAATGCGTGCTAAATCATATTTAAGGTAATGATAATGATTTGCGTAGTTTAGAGTCTCAATCATTCATTTGATTAATTCAGTTACTTTCACTTTGCTATTCTCTTATTCATTTTATTTTTTCTTCTATTAACTATAGCTCGAAGAACAAGATGATATTGATAGGGATTTAATCGAGATGGCTGAACTCACAGAGGCGGATTACGATGAAATCTCAGAGAGTGCCTGGGATAATGTTTTCAATACACCAAGTGCGTAAGTATTGCGATCAGTATGTTCATACTTAATAATAATAAATTTCAAATTGGATGCATATCTTGATAATTTAAGAACATATACGACTACTAAGTTTAACAATCACAAGACTTTAACTTGAATATCCGTATCACAATATAGCATTTCATTAAAATGATCACTAGTTTTATTACTTTCTAAAATATGTTTAAATCTCACAATCATTTACTTTTAGATTTGAGATATCTTAAAACAAATTTTTCTTTGATATTTTTCAGAAACATATACCTGCCGAGCGAAAGACTGTAGATCTCAGTTTAATAACAGGAGAGACTTGCACCGTCACCGAATGGAACATCATTTCCAGATTGGTGGTGCAATTAAGTCACCGCCATGGGGAGAGGATGACAGCAACAATGAAGATGATGATAATGATGATATCCGGGCACCTTGGATGAATAATGATGGATCAATTAACGAAGACCTCAAAAGGGAATATATGGTGAATAAAAAACTTATTTTAGCTGATGATAAAGTAAATGATTTGGTATCCATTTATAATTTCCCCACCGCATCCAACATTTCTGCCAACGACCTTGTGGACTATTTTCATAGCGTATACGATCAACAAAGTTCAGCTTTTAAATTCAATATATCGGTATCAATGATTCTAGAAAATATAGAGACAGATCGGTTTCGGTATTTTGCGGCTGGACCAAATAATTTTCAATTTGAAACTCCGCTGCTTGTCTCAAATATTCACGAGTTGCAATTAGCATCAGATGAGATTAAACGACTTACAATCGAAAACTTTACATTACCCTTGCGCGAAGATACAAAATGGAAATCTGCGTTAGTTACTAACATCCATTTTATAGTGTACCAAACTGATTATGTTATTTCAAACAGTCGGGTTGATCTACCCGACTATATTCGAAAAGCAAAATCCATCATCAATTTGACCCAAAAACCGAGATCCAATGAGTATTATAAAGATAATTTATGCGTCTTTAGAGCATTAACACTTGCAAAGGGCACTCCGTTGACTCCGACAAAACACTTTGAACATCATGTTTTAGAGTTATACTTTCAATGGAGACAGTATATGATAGATAATGATAATCAAAGACAAACTGAAGTTCCCCAAAAATATTTAGATTATGCTGGTTTCAAATTGACAGATATTCCATTGCTCGAGGAATGCTTTCAAACATCTGTTTTCATATATGAACTTGAAGCTGATCTCACAGCTAAAACTTTATACCACAGTAGCGATGATTTTCCTACGATAATGCATTGCAATTTGTTTGAAGATCACTTGAGTTACATACGCAATATCAATACATATGCTCGTAAATTCCAATGTGGTACATGCACACAATTATTTAAACGTTTGGATATTAGGAATAAACATCAGCGTGTTTGTAAAAATCAAACTAAATTTAAATATCCAGGGGGATACTGGGGTCTCAATAAGACTATTTTTCAAAAATTGAATGATGTTGGCGTGCACATTCCCGAAAATGAAAGATTCTCTGAATACTTTACTTGTTTTGATTTTGAGAGCTATTTGAAACCCCTTCAGCAGGGAATCAACTCCGATGAAGCTAAATCCACGATATTAACTCATGAACATATACCTGTGTCTGTTAGTCTCTGTTCAAATGTCCCTGGACATACAAACGCCCAATGCATTGTTAATGGCGATGATCCATCTGCTCTTGTTAAATCAATGGTTGAACGATTAACTGATATTCAAACTACAGTTTACGAAAATCAAATGAAAAGGTATTCTACTTATCTACAATCCCTTGACGGGTTAATTGAACAATGGTGTCCGTCTACAAACTCTGATAATGAGGATCTCACTGATCCATATGGTACAAATGAATTTCAAGACAAACTACAACAAACCAATAGTTGGTATCGTTTTCAGGAACGTTTACATCTAAATTTGGAGACTAGCTCTAATACTGATTCTGACTTTTCTCTTAGTGATGATTCTGAATCAGATTCTGAATCGGATTCTTATTCTGATTCAAAAGCAGAACAATTATCTCATGAAAACGATGCATCATGCCCCCAACTTCCAAATATACACGATGTAAGTACAGTTTCGCATTCATCTCGAAAACAAATTACTGGAAAATTGAAACACATTAGATCACAATTTCATGATTATTTGAAACAACTAGTCATTATTGGATTTAATTCGAGTCGATATGATCTTCCCCTGCTGAAACAATATCTCCCAGAAGCCTTGAAACTAGATAGCAACCTTCAATTCTTGGTAAAGAAGAACAACTCATATCAATGCATAACAACAAAAAATGGTTTCAAATTTCTGGATATCAGTCAGTTTTTACCCCCCGCCACTTCATATAAGCAATTTCTCAAAACTTTCAAGATCTCGGTTAAAAAAGGGTTTTGGATGTACGAATGGTTTCAAAATCCTGATCAACTTTATATCCAAACTATGCCAGAGAAAGAACATTTTTATTCTTCCTTGAAACAGTGCAACACTTTAGAGGAAGACTATTTACAATGGGATAAGAACGGGCGATTGGGCCCTGAACCCGCAAATTTAGATGAGAACTATAGATATATGGTGGGGGTATGGGAAAGTTTTCCAAGGGAAACTAGAAATATCAAAAGTCTTTTGGAATGGTATAATAATCTAGATGTGGCTCCGTTTTGCGTTGCTGTTACTAAAATGATAGAAATGTATCGCAAGCAAAACATTGACATGCTGCGAGATGTGATATCTCTCCCAGGCATTGCAAAACGGATTTTGTTTAGATACGGCGAACAGGCGGGAGCATATTTCCCAATATTTTCTTCGAAATTTTCCGACACATATAAAACCTTCAAAAACAATATTGTAGGGGGTCCTAGCATTATTTTCAATAGAGAACATACAAAAGGAGAAACATTCATAAGAAACAATGAAAACTTTCCTTGTGAACGTATACTTGGACTAGACGCAAATGCATTATACTTGCATTGCCTAGGGCGTGAGCTACCTGTAAATCGATTCAATTTACGAAAATTGGAGAACAATTTCCAAGTTATTAAAAACGAACGTTATGAAATGATGTTTACATGGGTAGAATGGGAAAACCTCTTACCAGAGAATAATTACCTCCATAAAATGAACAACGGGGGGAGTGAAGTTAAAATTGGGAATTATCCAGTAGATGGATTTTGTGGTGAAAACAATACCGTTTTACAATTTGACGGGTGCTACTTTCATGGTCATGATTGTTGGTTAACTAAGAAAGCCCGGTCTACGGATGAGGGTGAAAAACAATTTCAGTTGAGAAAGAGAAATACTGAAAAACGTGATAGTTTCATTAAAAGTCAAGGCTTTGAGTTGATCGTAAAACATGAATGCGAATTCAAAGCAGATTTGATCTCAAAAAACCAATCAGTTAGAACTTTACCTTGTGGTAAAAAAATCTCATTTTCAGAATTTGAAAAATCCAAACGTTTACCGTTTCACAAACGTTATCCCGGGCAAATTAATGATTCTCAAAAGATCATAGATGCTATTTTAGATGACACTCTTTTTGGTATGGTGGAAGTTGATATCAAAGTCCCAAAGTATTGGCCCAATGAACAATTAAAAGATAAAGCACGAAAACAATTTGGTAGAGATGTCAGTCCCTGGGAATACTTTAAAGAGTTTTCACCTATTTTCTGCACAACAAATGTATCTTTCGAGGATGTTGGTGATCACATGCAAGAATATATGCGATCTCATAATCTTTCTGAAAAACCCAAAACAATGTTAGTGGGTGGGATGTCAGGCGAAAAACTACTGATTACATCTAGTCTCTATCGCTGGTATATAGAACACGGTATTCAAACTGATAAAATACACCAGATTATTGAATTCGATCGCATGACATGCTTTCAGGATTTTGTCAAATATGTTTCTGATATGCGTAGGCAAGGGGATGCTAACCCCGATTTCGAACTGTTCAGTCTCATTGCAAAACTTATCGGGAATAGTGCATATGGGAGTCTGCTTACGTGTCAAGAAAAATTTAGGGATACTTTCTTCAGAAAAAACAAAGTCGAAGTCAGAAGAGTTATTAATACTCCTCAATTTCGGAATCTAACCACCATTGAAAACCCCTTTAACTTCGAGGAAGGCCCAATGTTTGAAATAGAATCCGCCAAAAAGCAAATGGACTTGAATTTACCGGTGTACTTAGGTTACACTATTTTAAATCATGCCAAGGAATTTTTACTGAAATATTTCTATGATTTTATGTATGAATATCTAGATCATAACAAATGGGAGGCAATTGAATGCGATACGGACTCGATGTACATTGCATTATCAGAACGTAGCTTGGCAGACGCTATGAAACCTTCCCACAAGCAACGATATTTAGACATGTTATCCGAGCAGTGTTCTGATGATATTAAGCCTGAATGGTTTCCGCGAACTTGTTGTGAAAAACACATAATGTTCGATAAGAGGTCTAGTGGATTAATGAAGACCGAGAAAGAGGGTAGCTCTATGATTTGTCTTTGCTCAAAAACGTATATAGTCACTGATACTGAATCCCCTAACGTAGCAGATAAGGTTTCAACCAAAGGTCTCAATAAGAATACTCTTGTAAATCCGATGCAGAGTTTTCAAAGCGCTCTGAAATCTCAAATCAATGAACCCTCCGTAAATCGTGGTTTCCAAGTAAAAAACAATTCTATATTTTCATACAACATGAAAAGAAAGGGATTTAGCTATCTCTATATGAAGCGCAAGGTAGGAACGGATGGCCGAAGTACAGAACCGCTCGATATAACTGTCACCCCTGTAATACGATACTAAATGGATACCAAAATCAATTGCTAACTTAATCAGTTTATAAAGTTTTTATTTGCCATAATTTTGTTTGACATGTCACATCATCTTCATTCATTCAAGGTGCGCTCCCTTATTTAAGTCTAACAATTATAAAATAAAACGATTATAAATTTCATTTTTACAAATGTGATACTGCTGTGAGTCTGTGATGTTACCACAATGGATAAGTCATGAAAAACTGTGCAGTTTTGAAGAATTTTTGAGTAGGAATATATTTTCTGTGTAACAAAATGTTTTTTGAGTAGAAATATATTTTCTGTGTTTGATTAACAAATGTTCCACTTTTTTAGAGCACTCTGTATATTTTGATAAATCAAATGGAGTCGATATAGCCCAACCGTATATGTATTCATTATATAGTATTTGTATTTTATTTAGTGTATTTACGTAAAATCATCTCAAATTGAAAATAAATGAACAGAAAAACAAACAAAAAAATAAAAACAAACAAGAAACATTCTCTGATATATCAATGAACAACTTTTATTAATTTCTAAACTACATTCAATCCTCGAATATTAGTGTGATTGATATTTAATCATATAGCTAGCACTTACACTGTACTGCAATAAGTTACACATTTATTTGTATCGTTCATTTGGAACTGTTTATTATACATATAAGTGTTTATCTGAAATGTTTTGATTTTATTTCAAATATGTTATAATATCTTAAAAATATACAATTTCATGTACACTGATTAATTTGAAGTAATTGTGAATTATGCTTTATACATTTTTGTCGTTGATATATTTAATAAATCCATGTAATAAAATAAACACTGTGTTTTGTCTATGCATACAATTGATTAAGATGATATTCGTGTAATTCTATATTGTCAATATAATAAATTAAGTCTAGTTAACATGTTTCCACGTCTTCCACTTCATCGAGTTCATGGTGTCTTTACGTACATTCTTACTTCTTTTGGGTTTGTTTGGATTTCGAATCCTTGGAGTATCGAG